ATGACGGCGGCGACACCACTCTCTTGATCCATGAGGGGGTGAAGGCCGAGGAAGAGTACGAGAAGACGGGGAAGATGCCCGATCCGGCGTCTACCGACAATGCTGAGTTCCAGATCGTGCTCACAATCATCAGGGATGGGCTCAAGGTGGACCCCACCAAGTACAGGAAGATGAAGGATAGGATTGTCGGTGTGTGGCGGCGACACCACTCTCTTGATCCATGAGGGGGTGAAGGCCGAGGAAGAGTACGAGAAGACGGGGAAGATGCCCGATCCGGCGTCTACCGACAATGCTGAGTTCCAGATCGTGCTCACAATCATCAGGGATGGGCTCAAGGTGGACCCCACCAAGTACAGGAAGATGAAGGATAGGATTGTCGGTGTGTCGGAGGAGACCACCACCGGGGTCAAGAGGCTTTACCAGATGCAGGCTAACAATTCCCTTCTTTTCCCTGCGATCAATGTCAATGACTCCGTCACCAAGAGCAAGGTGAGTTTCTCTTGTTTCTTTCTAGGTCTGGATCTAGGTTACCCTTTACACATTATCTCTGTCTTTGATCCAGATCTACTGTTTATCTTGATTGCTTAGATCTTCCATAATGTCGGCCACATCACTTGGACTTTTGATTATTTTGTAGACTCAGATCTATTCCGCACATCTTTTATGTTCCCCACTCCATAGAATCGCTTGATTAGAATTAAATATCAGCCTAATTAATTATTATCACTTGATTAGAATTAAATATCTAACCTAATTAATTATTATTTAATCTGCTAGATCTAAAACTGAAGCTAGATCTAGTAGTTATCACTTTCTTTTTCCCCCCAGCATTCCTAGTCTAAGGTTTATATCATCCAAAATCTTTGTAGTTCTTGACAAGGTATCCTTTCTATGCTATCTGTATGCACATCACAAGACATGAAAAGATTCATCATATCAGGGGTTCATATTTGTTCATTTATGATGCGGATTTCATGATTGTGAGATAACTTGATTCGTATTCTTGCTCCTTCCCCAGCTTGAAGTTCAAAACAAATTGTTTACAATCTTTCAGCCATACAAAACTTACTACTTTTAAATGGTGTAAATTGATAGCTGTTGATTTGTTGTACTAGATCTTGCAAAGATTGAAACCTTGTTGTAATATCGTAATTGAAAGTATGAATTCAAAGTTCAGATTTTAGGTTTTTTTCATAGAAACCATCTATAAAATAGTTTCATTTTATAGAAACCACCTTTGATTGTCAATTTATATATAATCCAACTTTAAAGGTTTTCTTTTTGCAATCAACCACCTGGGCTAAATTTTTAGTTAATTATTTCAGTAATTATCCCACTTAAACTCCATTAAGGATAATTTCGCTAATATGCTTGGTATTTGAAAACTAATTATTACAACAAACCCGAAAAAACTTGAAAGTTATTTTAGGTGGTTGATTGCAGCAAAGAATTGTTTAAAGGTGGTTTATATACAAATTGATAATCAAAGGTGGTTGCTGTAGAATGAGCATATTTTAAAGGTGGTTTCTAGGGAAAAAACCCAAATTTTATGATATCTAAATAGAGAAACGAGAGACAGTATCTTTTCTATTAAGATCTCATTATATATTAGAATTTTCTATTGACTGATTTTACTGGGATGTTGGACTGGTTAACTTACTCAGTAATCAGTATGTTTTCGTTAGCTGTTCTTACTTATTAAGCTTAATAATTTTTAACATTTGTCATGTTTAGAACCTATGTTGCATGGGTACGGGCATGAGACACGGCAAATTTCGGCAAATATGTAAAAGTTAGGGTATGAGGACACAACTATATAAATATTTATATGCACATATATTACACATTGGAATTAATAATTTATATGAGAACAAGGATGAGGATTAAAATTCCTACAATATTTTTTATTTTTTTATCATGTGGATTATAAATTAGAAAAATACTAGTTTTTGAACTAGACTTCCAAAAGACATTTTAAAATAATAATTCGGAATGTGACCTATGTTCAACGAGTTTCAAGAAGTGGAATTGAATTGTAGGATATATGTCTATAAAATGTTTGACAATTGTTTTAAACTAGAACATGTATTATATAATTGAGTACATGCCCCAATAAATGTATGCAAATATGCAAGGAGTGTCCAAATAGTTTGGCTACGAGTACACGTTGGTTAGGAGTACGGCTTCAAATTAGAAGATCAGAAGTACCCATGTAACATAGTTTTGAACATACTACAAATTTTTCCAAATGCCTTTCAGTTTATTGTTCTTTTAACAGTTTGTGATCTAAGGTTTTGTATATGTTTTTGAATCAATGTCTGGTCCCTTATCCTTCAGATAACCTTGATACCTTTGATCACATCCATTCATTCTTTTCCTTTATGTCATTAATTCATTGTTCTCACTGAATTAAGCTGAATAAGTTTAACATTATATCATGTTTTGAACATACTACAAAATTTTCCAAATGCCATTCACTTTATGGTTACTTTATCAGTTTGCGAGCCAATATTTTGTTTATGTTTTTGAATCAATATCTGGTCCCTTTATCCTTTAGATAATCTGCTACCTTCAATCATGTTCATTCACTGTTTTCCTTTATGTCATTAATTAATTGATGATATATTTTGTGTTAACAGTTTGACAATCTGTATGGATGCCGGCACTCTCTTCCCGATGGTCTGATGAGGGCCACTGATGTTATGATTGCTGGCAAGGTTGCAGTTGTCTGCGGTTATGGTGATGTCGGCAAGGGCTGTGCTGCTGCACTCAAGCAGGCTGGTGCCCGTGTTATTGTGACGGAGATCGACCCCATCTGTGCTCTTCAAGCCCTAATGGAGGGTCTTCAGGTCCTCACCCTCGAGGATGTTGTCTCAGAGGCGGATATCTTTGTTACCACCACTGGTAACAAGGACATCATCATGCTGGACCACATGAGGAAGATGAAGAACAATGCCATTGTCTGCAACATTGGTCACTTTGACAACGAGATTGACATGCTAGGTTTGGAGACATACCCTGGCATCAAGAGAATCACCATCAAGCCCCAGACTGACCGGTGGGTCTTCCCTGAAACCAACACTGGTATAATTGTTCTTGCTGAGGGCCGACTCATGAACCTTGGGTGTGCCACTGGTCACCCCAGCTTTGTCATGTCCTGCTCCTTCACCAACCAGGTATCATCATACTACTTTACTTCGAATGTGTCTTTATTTGAGCTGGATTTGCATAAATACTCACCAAGATGTTTTAAGAGTATAATTCGTGTGGTGGCTCTGTCTGCCAGCCTTTTTATCCCTTTGATTTCTTATGAGATGTGTTGATGTGTTTCAAGAGGTAAGCACCTTAAAGATAGCCTTGATGTGTATTATATATCACACATCTCAAAGCTAATCAAAGGTCCACTTAAGTTCACAGGAGTCGGGAGCTATACTCATGAAATATTTTATAAAAACCAAACTTAAACAGAATTTATCAGTCACCACTATTGAAAGAATCAATTACAACTTCGTGCTGTGTCTGTGTAGGTGATTGCTCAGCTAGAGTTGTGGAATGAGAAGGCAAGCGGCAAGTATGAGAAGAAGGTTTACGTGCTCCCCAAGCATCTTGATGAGAAAGTAGCAGCGCTTCACTTGGGCAAGCTCGGAGCCAAGCTTACAAAGCTCAGCCCTTCACAGGCGGACTACATCAGCGTCCCCATCGAGGGTCCCTACAAGCCACCTCACTACAGGTACTAGACGCTGTTGTGCCGGGGAGAGATCATCGCAGCAAGAAAGTATTAAGATTGAAGAAGAGAGTTGTTATGGAGGACATGGCTATATTTACTTTATTTCCTACCTATTTCTTGCAGTTTCTCTTTCCGAACTTTTAGACTGATCCTCTTCTTCTCTTTGATTTATCACGATATGAATTCTGTTTAAATTTTGCTTATTCTCTAATGATGAGCTAGCAGACATATGTTCTGTGGTAGAATAACGAGGTTTTGAACTTTGTGCATTGGTGTTTTGTCATGTCTAGTAATCTTTTTTATCGTAGGCAAATTACTACACTTTTTATGATCTGAGGTACTTTGATTTCTTATGGTAAAGTGATGGAATCAAACTGACTCCATATTAATAATATATTTGAATCATCTACCTTTTGTGGTATGTTTGGAAACCGGAATCTCATTTTCAATTTTGGATTGGACCAATTTCAATTTTGGGTACAAAAATATTTTAAATTTGGAATTGATCTCATTCCATATGGACCAAAATGGCCCCTTAATCCTAAATATTCCCATTCTCAAGATCGTTGTTGATTCAAATGAGGGTTAGGGCTAGGGTGGCAATTTATGATCCCACCTATCAACCCGACCCGATCCGTTTATATAATGTATATGGGTTGAGTTATATAGATTGGGTCATAAACGGGTCAATCCAAATTTACCCATTTATTAAACGGGTCAGTTCGGGTTGACCCGACTGACCTGTATAACACACACAAATCCAAATAAGAAGTTAAGAACCGATAGCCCGAGTGACTCTTTCAGAAACCCTAAGCTTGATTCTGTGGTGGCGAACGGCGGCGAGAAGAGGCAAGCAGCGGTGAGCGGAGACGAGCGAGAGCGATGACGAGCGACGCCAATGACGACGAGTGACGGTGAACAAGCGGAGTCGAGCGGCGAGCAACGACAATCGCCGCAGATGCTCTCAAAGCGAACATAACAATGATGGGCCCGCTCGTTCTCCCAGCTTCAAAGCAGCTCCTATTTTTGTTCAGTTTGATCGGGAGAAAGCTAATAAATCCTAAATGGAAACCATATATCCCTGATTTCAAACAGGCATTTGAGCATTTCTGCATCTTCGCTGGAGGTTGGGCGGTGATCGACGAGCTGCAGAAGAATCTGCAGCTGTTTGTAGAGCACATGGAGGCGTCGAGGATGTCGCTGCATCGATTTGGGAACACGAGCAGTAGCTCTCTTTGGTACGAGTTGAATTACATTGAGAAAAAAGGGAGAATGAAGAGAGGGGATAGAGTTTGGCAAATTGCATTTGGGAGTGGGTTTAAATGTAATAGTGCAGTTTGAAAGTGTATGAGGACGGTGAAGCCGACGGCTGATTGATAGGTACCTAGGGGTGCTAAACCGTATCCGTATCCGAGAAAATATCTGTAACCGTATCCATTAGGATACGAATATGGTTACTCAAATCTATAACCGATAGGATATGGTTACGGATATGGTTTTGTAGTGAAATATCCGTATCCGTATCCGAAATATCCGAATACATATTAATCATACTCTTACGATAGTTTCGATTCTTACATTATGGATTTGTGGTTAATTTTGATGATCAAGATGTCTAATCTTAACTTTTCAATTATAATGGACATATTAATAAACTCTTTTGTATCACATGAACTATGTTTTTCTCAATACTATCTAGTTTTCTCATATCTGTTTTGTATCTGCATGCATATCCGCTTATATATCCGCATATATATCCGTAACCGTATCCGATTTTAGCGAATATGGTTATAACTTTTTCTTACCGAGGTATATCTGTATCTGTATCCGTATCCGAGATGGGTAAGCGGATATGGATATGATAAGCATCATATCCGAGCCGGTATTTGAGCATGGTTCAGTCTAAACCAGAAAAAAACCGAACCGAACCGAGACCGAAATTAGGCCAATTGCGTTTTAATGTTTAGGGCACGGTTCGGGTCGAGTTGATATATGTTTTAATCCGAAACCGCCGATCCACACAGACCGAATAAGATATGCCATAGCCAGCCATTAACGCGGCCTCAAACCGCAACCGTCCTCTAAAAATATCATCTACTCTAAACAAACGCCTAAATACCACGAGACGTCCGAAGAGCCGTCTTGCCTCTCCTCAGTTGCCTCTCCATCTCTCACTGTGGCCCTATAACACAGCGCACTGACGCCGCCTTGGCAGCTACTGCGCTCGCCAGCTGACACGGCCTTCCACCATTCGATGCTTGCCGCTCGGCCTTCTGCCCTCGACGCTCGGCACTCCGCCGCTAGCCGTCAACCAAACTCCTCAGTCCCTCTTCCTCAGTTCCAATCTCTCACTCTTTGATCGCCGCAGTGCTGCGCTCCGCAGTCTTTAGATTCTGTTCTTGGATCAGATTTAACTTTTTTTGGGTAATTTTGATGCTCTTTTTTGTGTAGATTTGGTGTCGACTTCGGAGTGGGGAGCGATGGAGACGAAGGAGCTTCTCGAAATCCAACCTCGAGAAATCAAGTTCACTTGTTATTTTAGTTGGAGGGGTAAAACTGGTATTTCGAGAACTTGATTTCATCATTTTACATCCTTCGGCTCGATGCTGGGCTTTGATGATTGATTTCATCATTCTAGAGTAGATGAAATCCTGGATGGGTCGGTAAGAATTCATGTAGTTCATTTTCCCCATGTTTTTTAACAGTGTGATTCTTGAGTCATACACATTTTACACAGTTGCTATTGAAATCTTTAAATTTGATTTCACGGTGCAGGATTTATCCAAAAGATCATTTTGGAAAGTGTAGGTTGTATCTGGTTCAAGCATACAGAGTCTAAAGATCGTGAAATTGTGGCCAGAAAGTACGGATTATCTCATATAAGAATGTTAATCTCTATGCATAGTCGTATTTTGTAAATGATGTAACTTTTGTTTTCCAGGTTAAGAGAACACACTCAAGGAGTCGACAACAACCCTCTTCTGATATTCCCAGAAGGAACCTGCGTAAACAATCAATACACCGTGATGTTAAAAAAGGCCACTATCTTATGTTCTTGCCTTGGTTAGTAAAATTAGATATTAGCTTTTATTTTTTTGGCTGGAAACTTGCTTCAACATATGGATGTTCCCAATACCCTGTCTCATCTTATCACTGACCAATAACCTGTTAGCGGTGTGACTATTGCAAGCTCACTTTTAGAACCGAACAAACCGAACCGAACCGACTTGCAATGGTTCGGTTCGGTTTGGAATTGTAGACGGTTCGGTTCGGTTGTTCAAATTTTGGTAAAAACCGAACAGAACCGACCGATGCTCACCCCTACGTATCCGGACCGAATGCACCCCTATAGGTACCCCGTTGAGATTCCGAATGTTAATCTTTGAAGAGACGGCATTTAGAGAAATTGAGAGATTTGTGTTATGCATACACGTTTTGTCCTTTTTGGGGTTGTATGTGTAAAGTTGTCAGTTGTCTTGTTGTATTATTACTTACTGTTGAAGTTGAATCTCTCAATACTAGTATTAAACAATGTATTGCGATTACTTTGTTGTAAATGTCATCATATTTTAACTTAGAGAAGAAATACAAAACTAAATTTATATGGGTTGGGTCGGATAACCCGTTTAATAAACGGGTCGGATCGCATTGACCCATTTATCAAACGGGTCAGGTCGAGTCGGGTTACACTTATACGGGTCGGATCAACTATGACCCGACCTGACCCGTTTGCCACCCCTAGACTTAGGGCTTGAGTTTGTTATATCAATCTCATCGAGATTAAATTTCGTTGAAGGTCCCAGTTTCGTTATTGATTGGAGTAATTAGGATTAGAGTTACGATTTTTGGGGCCACAAGTTGTGGAGTAACGTCACATGCCTATCATTACGTGTTCGTGTCTCACCATTTTTTGTACTCACCAGAATCGACGCTCTCTCGAGGTATTTTTAAAAAAAATTATTCCGTGTTTTTTTTTCTGTGAACAAATTTGAGGGTATAAATTAGAAATAGAAAGATTTGGTGGTTTGATATAGAACTAAGAAAATTTTAGAGTCTAATATGACAAAACCCATATGAAAAGTTTAGGCTCCGTTTAGATATCATAGTGTTTTATTTGTTTCAATGATGTTTCTTGAGCTAATATCATTCTCAAACAAAAAAACACAACACTTATTTCAAAACACCTAAAATGTGTTTTAAGTTTGGTGTTTTGGTTTTGAGTTTGAGAAGATGTTAATATAATATCTAACATAATATATTAATTGTAATTAACATAGAGTTATTATCAACATACTTATTATACTATACTATACTATAATTAATCTAATATATTAGTAATATAAATAATATAAAAATATAATAAATAAAATATCTTATATAACAATATAATAACATATTAAATACTAGTATTTAATATGTTAACAATGTATTATATAATAATAAATAATAATAAAATATAAACAAACTAATAAAAATATAACGTTATTCGATAATAAATTAATAATATAATAATGATATAATAATATAGTACAACAATAGTATAATCGTTATAATATTTATGTAACTTTTAATAAATAACTATAATAAGATTATAATTATAAAATTATTGTTATATAATAGTAAACAAATTAAAAATAAAATACATATAAATATTAATATTATAATAGTATATTAATTAGTAAGTATACTATAATATATAAAATATTAATATATTATATATAGATAAAATAATTTATTCCTACAATTTTAATGTAAACATAATATAATTCATTAATATAGATAAATATTTATTTATATCATAAAATTTTAATATATTATTAAATTAGTATTAATAAAACTCTAAATAGAAAGACGCAATAATATACTAAAATTATTTATAATATGCTTAATTTATTAATAACATACTAGTAATAACATAATATTAAGCATTAATTAATAATATTATATTATATGAATAATAATATAATATAATATTATCATAATATAATAATATTATTTATATCATGAAATTTGTGATATATTATTAAAATAACTATTAATAATACTCTAACATATTAAAGACCAATAAATATATAAATTATTTATAATATGTAATATTATTAATAACATACTAGTAAAACATAGATATTAACATTATTAATAATTATTATATTATATGAATAAAGATATAGACGTTAATATATACGTAATAGATAGTATAATATTATATTAATAATAAAATAAGCATTATTATAAACATATTAATATAATATATAACAATAACAAATTTATATACCAAAATAA